CTGCATTCTCAGGACTCGAACTCGAGACCACTGGTTAAGCTGGAAGAGACCCAAGCCATCTCATCTAAGTGCTCTTGGGTTGATATATGTCGTAATTAATGATACTTTGGGGACTGGAAAAGGAGACCAATTTTTGGAAAAAGTTAGTTACCTTAGATCAAGTATCTCCGACAAAAAAAAAAGTATATCCGATAATTACACAATGATCTAATTACAAATCTTGACAAATTAGTTCTGCAACGAGATTATAGCATAATTTTTTAACTACTATTAGTAGTCTGTTTTTCTTCCTTCTCTTTATTGTTTTGGCCTTTTGGGTGAAAAAAAATGGTTGTGGCCAATAGTACTAGGCGTGATTGGATACAAAAATTTCCACTTAAAGTGGTTTTTTTTGTTAGTTGAACTTTAATTTATATTAAAAATAATACAATTAAAATTGATTTTTAGGGAAAATTTCACTTTTGGTACCTAAAGTTTACCTACTTTTCAGTTTTGATACCCATGGTTTTAACTTAATCACTTTCCGTCACTAACGTATTCAAAATCCATCATTATTGCCCAAATCGTCAGTTGACCGTGAGTCAACTGACCACCACCTTCTCTAGCCGGTTGCTTTCCCCAAAGAAACCTAAATAATCGGTTTCCCCTAATTTTTCCAATCGAGCAGACCTAATTGTTGTGAAAAAACCCTAACATTTTACCTTTAGAAGAATTTCTTTCATTTATCGCATTCAAGTGGGCAATCGACTGGTGTTTTGGTGTATTGTGAGCTTCCATTTCAGATTTGCGACGAGCATCTTCTGATTTGCAACAAGCATATTATCTTATTATTGTGACGACCCATCTGAATCCATGGCGAGAAGGATTATACGTGGGTTGCAACCTGAATACGGTAAGTTTTTTCACTTCAGTTCGTCACTAATTTTTTGAATTATATGGTTAATTTTGAAAAGTTCCATATTGTATGATTATTGTGAGATTTGCCCTAAAAATTAGGGTTTTTTCAGCTGAACAAATTAGGGGTTTTTCGATTATGAGCTGAACTGAACAAATTAGGGGTTTTTCAGTTCTGTTTATCTGTTTATGCATACTATTTTCAGTTTTGTTTATTTGATTTTTCTTTTTTTTTTTCTGTGTTGTAGACCATTTGTTGGAACCAACTGTCTTCACAATTGAGTTTCTGCACGGTGGTTTAATGATGCATATTCCTGTGAAAGAGTACCGAGGTGGGTATTTGGATTATTTTGATGGGGTGGATGGGGAGATGTTTGGGTTGATTGAGTTAAAGGATTTTATAGAGCAACTAGGTTATAACAGTGATCATGTGAATGCCTGACATGTGCATGGAATTAGTTTACAAGATGGTAGTCATATTATTGATAGTGATCAATTGGCATATAAGGTCATGAACTCCATTCCTGAAAACAGAATAGTGAGAATTGTTTTAGAACATGTACATCATGTTGATAACAACTACTCTAATCTTGAGGTTGAAAGTGATCCTGTGATTGACCTCTCATTTCTTGGTAGTCTGAACTCTAATGTTGAACAACCTGAACATCCTGAACAATCTGAACAACATGAACATCCTGAACAATCTGTACAATCTGAACAACATGAACAAAAATGAAGAGTGTGCTTCTGTTGATGATAGTGATTCAGAATGTGAGGAGTTCAATGATAGTGACTATGATATGGATGAGGATGATATTTTGTTTGACAAAAATGTTGACAAAGATGCAGAATTTGTTGGGGTGAATGAAAAAAATAATGGTAAATCAATTGAAAATGAGTTTTTGTCTGAGGGTATATTTGAGGAAGAGCATGATCTTGAGTCAGGGGATAGTGATTCATTTGAAAGTGTTAGAGGGTCTGATGAGGAGGATAATGTTGTGAAATTCCCTAAACATAATCCTAAAACTGATAAAAACCCTGAGTTGAAGTTAGGGATGATTTTTAGTACAAAATCAGAGGCTAAGGATGTTATTCAGGGTTTCTGCTATAGAAGAGGGATGGTGGTTCGTTTTGATAGGAATGACAAAAGAAGATTGAGAGCTAGGTGTACCACAGAGGGGTGTGGGTGGTATATTTTTGTTTCACCAATGCAAAATGACTCATCTTGGCAGGTGAAGTGTTATGAGAAAAACCACAAAGGTTGTTCTTGGAACTATAATAATCCTAGCATCAAATCTGGGTGGATAGGGAAGAATTTCATGAAAAAGTTTAAGAAGTACCCTAAGTTAGGAGTCAATGAGTTTAGGGGTATGTTGTGTACCAAGCTGAAGTTCAATATTTCTAAGCAACAAGCCTACAGGGCCAAGAAGAAAGCAATGATGCTTCTAGATGGAACATTAAAAGAACAATTTAGTTCAATCAGAAGCTATTTCTTAGAGTTGTTAAGGTCCAATGATGGTTCAACTATTGTCTTAAAACTGAGCAATTGTGAAGAACAATCAAGACAACCTGTATAGTCAAAAAAACATACAGAAATGCATATGAAAATGCCATCATGGGGATTTCATGTTCTGAATTGTGGCCTAAATGTGATTTACCAGCTCCTTTGCCACCAATATATGAAAATAGGCCTGGTAGGCCCAAAAAATTGAGGAGGAGGCAACCTGATGAGCCTCCTGCTCCATCCTCTGAAAGCAGGCTTAAAAAAGTTCAAAATTCTGTGACGTGTGGTAAGTGTGGTAAAATAGGCCACAACTCTAGAACATGCAAGAATCATCAATCTGAGAGTAGAACTCCAGTGGCAACAAGCATGGGTAGCACTCAATCTCAGTCACAATCTAAGTCTCATACACAATCTAAGTCTCAGTCTCAATCTCAGTCTAAACTTCAATCTCAATCTCAACCTTCAAGTATTCAGAAAAGATCAAAGCTACCTGTAAGTATGATTTGATTAAATGTAACTTTTATTAATAAATATCATTCTTCAGTTACATGCAACTGCTATTATGATTTTGATAAGATGCAATTGTTTTGCACAAAATAGGTTAAGAGGAAGAAAGAGACTGCCACAGTTGGTGGTGTAAACCTAAGTGGAGGCACAAATAGAGTATCTTCAATTAATGTAAGATTTTTTTTAAGTGGTGGCACTCAATCTCAAATTATGTATGAGCTTGATAAATCAAATTTTCTGGTGTAGGTGATGCAATCATCTTCTGGAACTGGACAAGTCATTGTAAAGGGAGGTGTAAACTACATTACTCTTTCAAATTTAAGAGCTGCAGCTGCTCAAGGGACTTCAAGGCAAGATGGGGGACAAAAATCCATTTGAGGATATGCTGAAGTCAAATTTTAAGTATTGATTGGTTGTGTGATGTGTTATGGACAGAAATCCATTTGAGGATATGCTGAAGTCAATGTTTAAAGAAAGTAAAAATTTTGTGTGATGTGTTATGTATTGAAGACATAATTCCTTCTCTTTTTGTAGTGATGTTTTCTAGTGATGTTGTGAACTGAAATTTTGTTTGGATGTTGATGTTGTGTTGTTTGAGATGCAGTGGGAATGGTTCTTTGTGGCTATTATGTTTTTGTTGGAGTTTTAGGTTTTGTGTTGGGGTTTATTGGTATAATTGTGCTTCTTTGTGGCTATTGTGTTTATGGTTTAGGTTCTTTTGGTTATCGTGTTAATGTTTTAGTTTCTTTTGTTGGGGTTTATGGTTTTCTTGATGTTCTTGTGGCTTTTGTGTTATGTAATTTCAAACACACATAAACAGGTTTTGCCCTCATAACCAAATGAGAAAATTCAACCAACATTTTCATACTAGAACCATTACATAATTTGATAAAATTTGACCACATAATTTGACAGAATGTTTGTGCTACAAACTGCTGACCATTACCATTACATAGTACTTCAAATTACACCAACTATAGCTATCTAAAATCTAGTTAAAACAAAATTTTACAAGATACAACAATGAGAGAACAATTATACCAACCCATAATTTTTTGATCTTATTCTTGCACACAACCAGTGCATTGTTTATGTCATCCACCTTGTTCATTGCCACCAACAACTGAGCTTCTATTTCAAAAATATTCAACTTGTACTGAGCTTTCATTTCAGCAATCTTCAACTTGTACTGCTCAATCTGATGTTGATGTTTATTTGATTTATCCAGCAAACCGGGTATAATATTCTTTGCTCTTTCGCAAATTTCTGGATCAAACCATATAAAAAAACCGCAAAAACCAAAGTTCTGCAATTTTTTTTTACAAATTCTTGTTAATTTACATTACGCGCAAATTAAAACAAAAATGAAATCAAAAACAAAATAAATAATTACCCTATATTTAGGGCATGCCCAATATCTTCTTCCCGGATTATTTCGAGTCCAAGAGGTCTTCAAGTATACTTTATCTCCACAATTGCAGGTCATCTCCATTGGAGCACCATTAATCTCGGACTTCCAGCGAGAGTTCCAGCTTCCTCTTGAACTGCTCATCTTCAAATTGTTTTTTTTTCCCCTCACTTTCGGCGGCTTTAGGGTGCTGTAATGGAGATGCACGCCATTTTCTATCACTTGCAGAAGAAGATGACCTGCTAGAGAAGGTGACCATCAGTTGACTCACGGTCAACTGACGATTTGGGCAATAATGATGGATTTTGAATACGTTAGTGACGGAAAGTGATTAAGTTAAAACCATGGGTATCAAAACTGAAAAGTAGGTCAACTTTAGGTACCAAAAGTGAAATTTTCCCTTGATTTTACGTTAAAAGTAATAAAGTAATAGATAGATAAGTGAATGAATAGTAAATTAAATTAGATGTGACGTGTAATAATGATTGGGTGATATTATATAATTATAGAGAACATTACAATTAACCCACCTAACTATACGGTTTTTTACATTTTATCCACTCAACTTTTTTTCGTGACACTTTGCCCTTATAACATTCTAAATAATTACACTTAGCAAATTTTCGGTCATCATTCGGCCATTTCTAAGGGCAAAGTGTAAATACAAAAATTGAGTGGGTAAAGTGTAAAGAAATTTATAGGTGAGTGGGTAAAGTGTAAATTTTTCAATGACAATTAATATAATGAAAGATTGAAAAGTCAATTTTTCTCTTAGAAATCCCCGACGATGACCGGAAATTGGTTAAGTGCAATTTTTTTTTTTCAAAGTTATATGGGCAAAGTGCCACGAAAAAAAAAAAAGTTGAGTGGGTAAGGTGAAAAGACTCGATAGTTAGGTGGGTTAAGTGTAGTTTTCCCTTAATTATATTGATAATAGTGAAGTTAAGTTAAAATTGAGTTAAATTTTGAATTAGATGAAAATTGATGTGAAAAAATTTTGTATCCAATCACACTTTTGCTTATCAATTATCTCTAACTCATGCACAATTCACTAATAAAGAATTGAGTAGTACTAATTTAATATCAAGAAGTTGATTAATTATATTGTTACCAATTAAATTAGTCAATGGACGTTGGATATTAAACATGAAGAGGTAAATCGAGAAATTAGCTGAAAGATGAATTATTTATATTCCGGGGGCTAAATATTAAGTAATATTTTTATAGTTATATTTAATATTATTCAACTGTGAGCAAAGTAGACTTGATCCACAATTAGGTACATAGTTGAGGAGCCCATATTTACAACCTCTTTAGGGTCCCTATAAGCCTATATATACACTAAATCCTTAGCTTCCATACAGACATAGATGAAAAACACGATCAAGATCTCTAATCTTAAGCTCTTGATAAGCCAAATCAAGAGAAAGAAAATGAGAAATTTGTGAGTCTTGTGAGAAGTTCAGGAGATCCGATAAGTTGTCCACCACGACGAATCGAAGCAGGTGATCTGTCATACAACAGAAGATTTTAAGGTTGTACGTTCATTTTCCAGCGAATATATATGTCCTCAGAGCGCATTCGACGACAACCAAAC